TGGGCGGGTGTGGGTAGTGCGCCGGTGTATGTGAAATATCTCTCACATTTGGCATGCCGTGGTCAGTGGCGTGAGAATTCGAATTGATACAAATACGTCGCTATTTAAGAAATTTGTCATCGTTGATAACAACATTCTCTTATATGGAGTCGGCTGAGGCAGCCGAGCTGGCGGCAAGACAGTCCTCCAAACTCAGAGAATCTGTGCGCAAAGAACGGACCGCCGGTGCCGTCTTCGCGACATTGCAAACGGAAAGATTATCATACAGGGAGTTATATCAGCTCATGAATTGCTGTTCCGGGAATTCGTTGAAATTATAGGCCTTTCGACGGGGAATCATTTCCATTCCTTGGGTGCCGTTGGAAGATTCACTCAAGCCCATCCCTCCGATGGCTGATCGTTAAGGATCTGTCCGCCACATTAGGCAAGAGGTTCCTATACACCAAAGCGCGAAGAGTAAATCGGAGATCATTGACTGAAATCACCGAGAAGCCAGATCGATTGACGATTCTGGAATTTTGGAATGATGACCCCCCCGCCCCCGCACGGGTTCCCCCAAGGGGAAAGCAGTGAACTCGCGAGCTTGGAGTTGTGTGAAGCTCATGTTGAGAAATCCATTCAGAGTCCATAGGATGTCGTTCTCCGGTACTTCGGGGAATTGCGGTCATCTCGCACAGCGGGGAAACATGTTTCTGATACATTTGCTTTGATTTTTTAGCTTGCGGAGGAGCCGGTTCTCTCCTCATTCGATTCTCCGGACGAAGGATTCCACCAGGCAGGAGAACCAGGAGGTCAGGTCTCCGGATATTTAGGCGATTGCAGGGAAAGAATCTTGCCAATAATATTGCAGAAAAATGGCCTTCATTAGAGTGCCTGGTCAAACTCTTTCGCATTCCCCACATGTTCACCCAGACTCTGCGCTCCGAATTTCCATTAATGATTCTTCTGAGGCTGATATCATGGGAGGAAAAAGCTATCGATAGAAGCCGGTCTCGACTGCTTTTCCCCATTGGCTCTCATTCCCCCATTGGCTCATCTTTCCGATCATCGATGGATGCAGGTGATGAAAATTCGAGACCAGACTAGTGCCGGCCGACGGAAGCCGCAGATTCAAAGCAGTTCGGAAGGAACATCGCTGGGACGAAAAACTCCGCTGCAGACTTACTGAGCGGTCTTAGTGGGACGGGCGAGGGGAGTGATGAGGCGGGGCCCGATGAAGGATGATGATGAGTGGAAGAGGGGTGACAAGGGCAGGAATGAGAGCACGGGGGTGTTTTTGATTTGCAATATTAAGAAGCTCCATCCGCCGAGAACGGTTCCGAAGATGGTTTTAGAATGGATGGTGAACGGCTGCTGATGACACGTGGCGTCTTTTTCCCGTCAGGATCCACGACAAATACACACACACTCGCGCACAAACTGACACACAACCAAACGGAGCACTGAAATCGCTCGATCAGTCGCTCGTCTTCTCCTTCTCCGCTCGCAGGTGAGCTGAGGGACTCTCGAGGAAAAAGTTTCTGCAAGAAACTCAAGGGAAAGAGCCGAGATTATGGCGAAATATCAGGCGGAGAGGAAAAATCGTCTCTCAGAGAAATCTGTTGTTTTGGACGCGGCGCTGAGGCAGGGCCGGAGCGACGGCTCGAGCAACCAAAAACGAATACACACAAGTAAGATCAGCAACTCCCTTTTCCATCAGCACAGAGTCTATTCGCAGTGGAGTCAAAGGTGACTTGCAAATAAGACAAAACCAGCCGATGAGTTCTGCGCTACTCGGTTTCCTGTTTCCGGAGTCTCGATTCCGAAGCTGACAGTTGTCGCAACAACTCTCCGCCCGGCAACCCACAAGCCCGGCCGCCTGTCCGCGCGCTCCAACCTTGTCGGTCTGGTGGTTGCCGGAGCGTCTCTTTCACCCTTCTTGCCATGTGTCTCTTTCAGCTTTGTTGCGCCGCGCCGGTGGCCAACGAAGGCGTCTTTCATGCACTCGGTCTCTTGTCCTTGTGGCGGGGGCGACATCCTCGGTGTCGTCGCGCTCGCTTTGCCTCCCGGTGCAGTTCGCTCGTCGACTAGGCGCTACTCCTAAATCGGGCTCCAGGTCCCCTCGTTTGCTTGCCTGCCTGCCTGCCTGCCTGTCTGTCTGCTATCGATGCAATAAGAGCGTCGTGGTACGAGACACCACGACAGAGAGTGAGATGTTCGCTAACGTTTTTATCAGACGGCTACGGCGACGGGAACAACGACAAGATCCACCGCAACATCGGGCCCAGTGTGGCTCGCATTCCGGCTCGGGCTCTCTCTCCTCCTGAGTGAAGTTTGGGGACTTTCGAAAATGGGGGAAAGTCGCTCGAATCCACGGCGGAAATCCAGCCGGCGAGGCATCAACGGAGAACGGAGGTGATTATTTTTTGAAGAGTAAACACACGCGCCGTGTTCTTTCTCCGGCCCCGCTTTCTTTTCGGCCGAGCTCAGACAGCCTTCCGTGGCTGCTGCTCGTGGAAGTGGCTGCGGCAGTTCGTTCTGAAATGAGAGGAAAGAATGAAGAATCTTTCTCGAACGTTTCAAGGAAGCACCTGCGGCAGACATCTCAGGAGAGCGATCGTCGTTCGCTCGGTCTGTCGCTCGGCCGTCACGCTGCGCAAGTTGGGAGCGTTTTCGATCGCTCGCTCCGACGACGGAAACGACGTCGTCATCAACAGCGACAACAACGAGCACTTCGACGCAGGATGCGTCCGCCTCATTCGCGCACGCACGAAAAATGCGACAGAGAGGGATCTTGCGACTTTGCCCAGAAGCTGAAAATCAGATCATTGGTATCGGATTTGCGGACTGGAAGATCTTTGCCGGCTCCAGATCTGTTCCAGATCGGCAGTCCGGCGTCACTTGACGGAAACCCTCGAACACTCGCGTGACTCTCCCGGGGATCCTCGGACTTGACGAATACCGTCGCCGAATTTATTAGTCTTTCGATTTCCCGGCGCACCGCTCAAATACGGAGAATTGCGCGGGATCGCAGGCGCAACGTTACAGTATGACCTGGGAGCTTCGAAAAACGCGCGGCGAAACATTAGTCTGAGTTTGGAACGGCTGCCGGGAGTGACGGCGGCGGCAGTAGTGGTGGAAACGACAGAGGAGGTGGCCATGAATCAGTCGTTGCTTGGGCTAGTTGTCCGGAGGGGTGTCGTATGTTATTGTATTTGAGGCAAAAAGGGGGGCCTGCACTAAATCAGTGTGAGTGAGTGAGTTGGAGTCCGTCGGATAAGAGAGAGCACTAGCCGGAGGAGTGAGTGAGGGGCAGCCTCGGCGGGGAGGAGGGTTTCCAGGAGAAGGGCTCTCCGCTCGCGGGGACGAGGGAATTTTCGGGGGAGTCCGAGGAGAATTCGAGGGGAGCCCATGAGGAAGGCGTTGGAGGAAACGGAACAGGGGAGTCTGCCTCTGCTGCGGGGGATATGGTCGAGTCGAGCGGCAGGAGGACCATTACAAAAGATTTACTTCCGAAAAGAACATAAATCGGAGTGCTGCGAAGCTTATGGCCACACGTCCAAGCCGTGCGTCAGCTTCAAACGGAAGCCAGCAACCTCAGCCGCGGCGGCAGTAGCGGCCGCTGCAGGCAACCAAGATGAAGTGCTCAAACGTGAACTCCACGAGGACGAACGGGGCAAAAAATATCCCCCCAGTCACTCGGCAGACAGCCGGCGACATCTGGAGGCTATTCCAGAGTGCCTCCATCGAATCCCTCTCCTCGATAGTCCGGAGCTCGTCGTCCGCGACGAGCTCGGGGGAGGAATCTGGCTTGACGGATTTGCGTACTCCCCCTTGCTCTGGAAATCAGAATGAGCCGAATTTACTGAAATCCAGTATATGTACATCGCACCTCTTGGCGACGACCGTCCTGGGAATGAATATCTTCTCCTGAGAACCCGCCCGATAGTTGCCATTCGAGCTTGGATTTTTCTTCGATGGGAGTTCCCGTTTTTCCCTCGAAGCTCGAACTCCCTCGCGTCTTTTAGTACAAAGCTTCTGCTCGCTATCCCTCGAAATCAGCTAGTCTACTCGCGAATTTCCGAACGTTCTTCCCGCGTACCTTCAGTCAGTCGGAGGAAAAGTCGTCGTTTTCCGTTTTTAATCGAGCCCTCGAACGCCAGTCATCAGAGAGTCCTGGGGCGCGTGGCGGTGACATTCTCATCCGGCCGACTCAGACACACGGTCTTTTGAAATTTCGTTCTGATTGCTTCCGAATTGAACAGGTTAGATCGGAGCAAGTCTTTTTTTTCCACTTTGTTTGGGCCAGTTCTGGTGACACTTCTGACGAACGGCCCGGTCACAATCTACTTGTCAAACACATGCAGCTTGTTTTGCAATCTCGAGCCGTGTTCCGCACACCGGAGGACTGCGGGGCAAATGTTCGCCCGGCTCGCCACCCGGCCAGCGAGGGCTGTGCCTGAACTCGGGGCTCCAGTAGAAAGAGGGGGAACGTCCGATTTCGCTCGAAGCATCGGGTTGTGACAGGTAAATTTTGACACCTGCAATGCTGCCTTTTTGTGGCTGTGTGTTACTAAGGTTTTTACTAACTACCGACCCCTCCACCACAAAACAGCCTAGAGGTGCGGACCAAACCACTCAAAAATCCCAACGAGCCTCGGAGGGTTGCACGGATGAACGGTGCGACAGACAAATAGATAGACGTTGGGATAGCTAACCGCGCAGTGCATCCACCGCTCTCCCTCTCTCTCCCTGTTCGTCGGCACGGCGGATATTGTTGCCCATGGCAAGCCCAACACTCTGTCCGTGGCACATGCTCATTCCATTTGATAAGCCCCTCGCTCGGACTGATTTCCTCCCGAGCTACTGCGGGTAATCTGGGTTCATCTGGGAGTGTGCTCACACTTGGCTATACAGGTGGCGTTTGTGGAAGAGAAGCGATCTCATAGCCGATAATTATTGTTGTTTCTCGGAGTGAGATACATACTATATGGTTGGGATGATAAAGAGGAACGACGCAATTCGCGGTTTACATCGACCGATCGGAGCAGTCGCAATTATTCAATTTTCACGGGAATCATGACACAGAGCAACTGTTTCCCACTCTCATTGACGAGTGTCCATTTTACATTGAGACCTATTGAAGGGTAGAACTTCTCGACCTTGAAGCTCTGTGTGTAGGCGACTCCAGTTTCGGCTTTGACGGGACACGTAATTCCGGAATCCTTGCAGGCATCGCTATTGTTGAGCGGGTAGGGGAGAGGGATCCCACCGATGATTCCGAAGGCTTTCACAGTGACGCTCGCGGCATCAACCTGCAGAGGATTCGAGTCTCAGATACAGCTCTGATCGTCTTGTTCGGAAATTCCAGGAATTCTCCTCATTCGACCTCTCTCCTTATCATCAGGAAACGTTTGCTTACCGGTGACTTGAAGTTGATTGCGATCGAGGCATCGGTTCCCTTATGCAGGATGCATGAACTCACATCGTTACTGCAATCCTTGATATCGACGGAGGTGATTTCACCTGTGGAGGTGAATTTCATTACAGCGGGAGCTCGAGAAATCGAAGCTCGTCCGGAGTTCCGCGAAGCGGTATTCTCCGGCGAAGGGGATCATCTCTGTGTGAAGTTGCTACGAATTTTCGAAGATGAACGTATTGTTGATCGCGAGGTTGTCGTGGAGCGGATTTCTTTTTTCATATCGGTAAATGTTCGCTCTTCGAGTGAGTAGAAAACTTTTGCGGGTCGGGCGTGAGGCTTGATCTAGTGACTTGCAAGAATTACGTCCCCCAGAAAATTTTCCACTCCGCAGATGCATAGGAATCGGAGAGGGATTCTATCTCCCAACGAGAGATACACTCATGATGACGTTTCCATAGGAGTCTGTGCTCAGGAAGTTCAACCTGCCGTGGTTCCCGCAATTTTCCGAAATAAATGTCAAGGCTAATCGTACTTACCTGCAGCGGGACTGCACAGCTTATAAGGGCTCGCGAGAGCCACCGAGAGGATCGAGCACAGGACGATGACGGTCTTCATGGTGATATTCTGCAAGAGATCCGCCAATGACTTCTCGAAATCGCTTGGGGATCTTATAAACCTACCAGCGAGAGGATTATCCCGATTCTTCCAGAGAGCGGGCGGAGGGCGTTTATCGGACGATAGCAGCGGGAAAAGTATCGCGGCGGTCGACGTAATCGCATTTAGGGGCTTTCGAATTTTTCGGGGTGCTCTCCCGGATTGAATGCTTCCTAAAGAATTCCACGGACATCCCTTCTCGGAATCAGAAAGAGTACGAGTCCTCAATCCTAGTCCTGATTGGACCCCGCACTCGTCTTAGAATGTTTCATTCGCCGAAGGTGCGGGATCGTCTTCCGAGCGTTATCGACTCTCGGATCGCGCTCGACAGCAATCCCCATCGAAGTACGCATCAATCAGTAATCAAAGGCCGCTATCTAGCGATGAATGGCGAGGACTCGATTCAACGATCTGTTGGACCGGGGCAATCAGTGGGAACGCTCTTGAGATTGTTTATCACCGAAGAGAGTTATCAGAGCTCGAACCAAGAGAAATTCTAAATGAGCCGATGCCACCGGAGCGATTTCACCGAATTCGGACACCTTCATCGACGAGAGGCTATAACAGACCATCGGATAGATTCTTTGGCGGAAACGAATGTGATCAGAACGATCCCCGTCGGGAGATCGCAAGTAATCTGCGGCATTAGACAATTGGAACGATCAAGGACACCGCTCGTGTGATGCCTCCCAGGGCGACCCTGGCGAGAATCGAGGGGAGGAACTCGAGTTTCATTCCGCAAGTCTCTCACCCCAGCAAAGCTCCGAGAAGATTCGAGTTTTATTTCCCCTTGAGGCTATCATCAAGATGGGATATCGAGTTTCCCGTCTACGTCATATATTGATCCGACTTACGTCTGTTCCGAGGATCCAGAAACACCACAGACGAGACTTCCGAATACTAAGGGAAGGTTTCTTCGATTTCTCGGTCTCGATCAATCGATGAGCACGTAGAGCTGTCCACCAAGATATCCGACCCGGATTCTCACTTGACTGCTGGCGGAAAACGTCGAGTACTCGTCTCGATGGAACACTTGACGATTAGTGTCCGCTCGATGACGGCTGACTCATTCGCCGCATCCCTCCCGGTAGAGCGGAGGCTTCGAGGAGCCGACACTTCCATGGGGATGGCACTACCGTTGTGATATATATCTGACTCGAATTCGCGAAATTCTTCGGTTGACTACAGTGATCTGGGAAGCAGGGAGGGCACATCTGTTCTCATTCAAAGGTGCCTTAATGTCGTGACTCATGCGGAAACCTTTTTCAGAATAAAATACATGTGCGCCTGACAAGACTTCGAAATACATCCAATTCTGGCAAGCTGCACATCGGGCGAGTTCTGGAATTCCAACTTCCTTCGTTCTGGCCCAAGTGTTATGATCAGGGAGTTCAGTACGAGATCGATCTCAGTAGGTTCTCAGAGACGGTACAGTGAACTCCGTGAACGTATACGGTGGATACCGAGATATGAGTGGAAGAATGAATGATAGCATAATTTGGGACGTACATGGATACAGTCGCAAAAAATAGGCGAATGACAAAAAGAGACCAGCTTCGGGACATTGAGAGCGCTTGCCATACATGATGACCGAATGGCCGAATCGTGATCCTTGAGCCCACTGAGAGGCTTTCCCGAAGGATGCTGGCAGAGCTCAAAAAAAATCTGAGACCGAGCGACGCCTCTCGTCGTTGGTACCGCGGTTAGTGTCCGCTTGACAACGCCCTCATCGAGTGACGGAATCGCATGTTCACATTCCAATGATCTGAGATTCGAACGGGCTTGCCATTGCCTCTCGGAAGTCGCCCGGGACGTTTGGAAATGATCCGGTCCGTCCCACTCGAGTCCTCTCGCAGAGCGCGTTCCGAGGAGTCAGCAGGGGGCTGAATTCTTCGATTGATAATCGAGTGAAGCGCCCTGACCATGATGCATTCGACTTATTTTTCTAGAAATTCTCGATCTCCGCTGTCGAACGAATGCATTGGAAATTCCTCCGGGAGGGGGGGGGGCATGGATTGTAACGCTGAGGGTCAGCGGGACGCTTGCAAAAAACTTCGTCAGCCGGTGTTAAATGAAGCCAGCGATTGAGAGATGCCGAGACTTCCAGACGCATTAAACCGCCGCTGCGTAAGAACTCCGTCACAGTCAGTCGGGACGGTTATGACGATGCCGCCGCTGTCAATGTTTTATCCAATTTCCATGGATGGAGGACGCGCAAGGCCTTCGTTCGTGCTTTACGAAGCTTTGAATGACAGCCTTCGTATCCGGTGTTAAGTCGTCAGAGGAGAGCTGATTTAAATAAGAGGAAGAGGACCGGTCGGCCGATCGATGGGCCACTGTTCGCACTCTCGACACACAGGCGGATGGATGAAGGGTCAGGAGAATCGCGCAGCGGAATCAAGAGAAGACTCCATAAGATTCCGCCATTATTGCCTGAGTCGTCGTCATCATCAACATCAGCGACGGCATCGCGGCGAGTCGTTCTCGTAGCGTTTGACGAAACTCCCGAGGGAGACACGACGACGACAACGATGAAGGCGAGGCTGTGCTTAATTCATGTCTGGGGACAAAGTTGTCGAGCGCTCCGACGACGGCAACGACAACTGGAAATCAAGCGACAGTCGCTTAGGACGTCATGGATCACTCTTTTTTGACCGGATAGGGGCAGATCGAGGGGAAAGCGAGTCGGGAAAGTAAAAAAACACTCGGGTTCGGACTACGGCCAAGATGCATCCTCGCAAGCGAAATGTCGTAATGGCTTGCTTTAGGGCTGAGATTGGAAGAATGTTCGACTTGCCAGGGACCGCTGGGCTTTATGGGGATACGGCGCCCGTCTCGATGTTCGCTCGCAACGTGACTTGTCAGAGGACCTCGCCTCTCATCATCCGGGAAAAAGATGTGTTCTGCAGCTCGTTTTTTTTTCTTTCTCGCTTCAAAAATGACACCCGTGTCAACGTACTTAATGAGACGTGCCCTGATTAAGAGCGGAGACTGCTCCGTGATCGCAAGCTCCGAAAGAGGGAAGTCCGATTGCTTAAAAATTCAGGGCGGCTCGACTTTAGCTGTCGATAGGTTCAAGCCGTGATCCGAGAGGCAGATAAACTCCGTTCTGGCGTGAGCTCTACCCGGAGAGTTTGTGAAGACTCGATTACGATCCCCTACACTACTCTCACCTCTCTCTCTACTACTCTCACCTGATCTCGATTTCCGTCACAATTTCCTATGCTCAAGCGCGACCCTTTCTTCTTCCGGAAGGTCAGGGTTCAGTCTGGGTGGGCCATCCAAACCGGGATTCCTGGTCGGATACGGGAGCTTGGTCCTCGAACTGGGCACGATCAGCGATCGGATCATTCGAGATCGGGAAGCCCGGAGGGTTCATGTTGCTCAGTGCGGACGGTCAGACTTCCAAACGAAGATTCGTATTCCGGGATTATACGGACGGAGTCGCCTGTTCGGCATTCTTTTAGTTCATTTCTTTGATTGGTTTCGTTTGTTTTATTTTTGTTGAGTTTTGAATTTGGGCTCCGGGCTGATACAATTTCCGGAGACTTGGTGCTCAATGGATATGTCCAAGGCGATCCGTATACCCCACCCGGCTCTCCCGTGTTCTGCTCGAGACGGAGCTGAAGTCCCGATCAGAACCCCGCGTTGGTACCGTGACAGGGTTCGCTTGATTCTGGTAGAAGTTCAAGATTCACTTAGGCCATTCTATTAGGCTAGTCTCGCTCGCCGATGGTCTCCAGGGGGACGAGGGACAGGCAGCCGGCATGATGTCCCATTGAGGGCCGCGAGAATGACCAGAGCGTGGACTCGAAATGAAGGGGTCTGGTTCTTCTGCATTCTGCGGTAGTCCACGCCTGCTGCAGGCTCAGACTTATACGAACAACAGATGTTGGTTGTTTATTGGACTATGAGGACAGGACGTTTTTGTCGCACGGGACGTGACCACGTCTTCATTAGAATGTTTCGGTGGTCGGTCGGAGGGAGAAGAGTCGCCTGCGCATACATAATCTCCGCAAAGAACCCAATCCTCTTCGAGCACCATTCGTATCTTTTATCCTTTCTGTCTCCTCGCCCCGCTCTAAACAACGTTTGTACAAACAGCTCCGGTTCCAAGTGGAAAAACTTGGATGTGTGCAGCAGACCTGGCGGCAGCACGGCATACACATACATACAGACAAACGGGCGGGGGTGGCGAGCGGGTAGTAAGGCAGCCGCGTGAATTACCGAATGCCTTTTGGCGTATTCTCTCCTCTGAAGGCTCTGCTGAGTAAACAGAATAAATATCTCGCACGAACAGAAGAAGCAGAACTCAACTCAACAGAGTTAACAAAAGACCCAGTTCAGCTAATTACATTTACATAGAGAGCGACGACGAGCTCCAGCACCATAGGACCGGCACCAACCTATCTGCCGGCGACGGCTACCTCGCTATCGATGGGTAAATACAACGATGCGAGTATGTCCACAAACTGTAAATAATCTCCAAGTTTTCCTGATTGGAATCGGAATCGGGCCATTGGCAGTAGAAAAAGAGCACTTGCAACTCTTATTTACGGCCCGCTTGTCCTGAGGACAGGAGGAAATGTGGACGGCCCCGAACCCATCGGTGAAACGATCCCGTAGCCCGAGTGGGTACCATGATCGTCTGTAAAATCTGTGAGAAATTTTAATACGTTCCCGGGACCTAGAACATGTTGACGATATGCGAGGAGCTCGACCTCTGTTCGGACTCTTTTCGGATATTCTTATTTATACCTCGTCGATTGGAGTTTCTCGAACTCGTCGGTAGGTTCTGCTCTAGCCCTCTAGCCATTCGGTTCGAGTTCGGGGATCTCAGACATCCGAAGCTCGCCCTGCCCGATCCCATATCCTCGGAGCTTTCCTCAACAGGCTCGGGTTGGCAGTCGAAGTTGGATGAATCCCGGCGTTATTGGGTTCGGCAGAGATCCGTCGGCTGAAAAATTAAGCACAAAATTTAATGAGCACCGTCCAGTAATTAGAGAAGAGAATCGATTCGCTCTTCTTCCGCTGTTGCACTTTTGGCTTTTCCTCCCGCTCATTAATTCGCTTATCAGGGGAGAAATTATCAAAAATTATCCTCTTCATCTCGTCGCCCCCCTCTCCATGATCTGTCGGTCGATCTCCCGGAGCGATTCTCTCGAATCTCGTGGCTCACTCTCGTAATGAGAGGACGTTCCATTTGTCTTGGTTAATCGCCAGCAGCTGCTGTAGTGCTCGAGGTAGCGGCAACTTTGTCCAACTTGGGACATTCGCGCTTCTTGGTAGAATTGTCGAAAGCGAAGAGGTTTTTTCGGGAAGTCTCTGCCGTTCCCTGACCGAGCTCCATCTGCAGAATCCGCCTCTGCGTCCCCCGGAATGCTCCAGCCTTCGGGGAGAAAATGCGTAATTCTCAAGCAGGGAGACGTCCCGGGACGAAAGTGATTCCGCTCAACGAGCAACAACGCGGGCGGTGGGCACGCAAAAGTTCGTCCCCCAAGCCCGGGCTCTCAAACGTTCCTCGACAGATGTCGATTCGAAAACAATTGTCACACGAAGAACAGTTCGATCCCTGGGGGAGTTGACGACGTACACTCGTAAAGAGCACATCTCATTGCTGCTGGCCAGTCGAGCAGCCTGCCTTCCAGCTGACATTCAGCCGGTCCGCAGACCGGACGGCCGAGACCGATGTCGCAGGCGGCAGATCGAAGCAAGTTTTCGCCGTGTCTCCTCCACGTCCTCTTCCTTTAATTATTGGAGTTTTCAGACTGGACGACGGCAGCGACGACGACTGTCGAGCGCCTCAAAACGCTAATTAAAATGACAGCCCCGCGTATTGGGCTGACAGGATTCCATTGCGATTAAGCAGGAGCCGACTTCCCGAAGAACGAGTCCTGTTCCTCGCCCTCTGGTCAAGATCAACAAAATCGAATGAAACGTCGCTGAAGCGGATCGGTTCGTCGTACAGTCGATTATGCGGGGATGTCATCCAGCCGTCGAGTCAGATAAGAACATTGGGGTGAAGCCGAGATTTGTAAA